CGGGGACGAAATCCCAAATAAGGGGGGGTGAACTTGTAACACCGTCCCCAAATGTATTTACTTTCAAGTAAATGATGTAATAAACCTTATGGAATGATTTACGAATTTACGAAGTTGTAAATTTTTATTATTCTTTCGCGTGAATAGTAAATTGCACGTGGGGCGCACACCTGGAGCGGGGGCCGCCCGACATTCCCAAGACCATATATTTTATTCATCTTGGTCTAGATAATAAATATATAGTGGTGAATATTTCATTTGGACCATGGAAAGGCCCTGAGTTGACCGATTCGTCAAAAGAAGCCCAAATTACCGGTACTGGTAATTTAACTGATAACAGCCCGAACTGAATTTCGGAGGCTTATAAATTAAAGTTGGGGAATGTATATTCATTATACATGTCATAATGAGTAAGAGCACATAATATATTTTATTTGACCCGATAAAATAAAATATATTTAAAACAGTCCGAAAATACAACTTTCGGGACCAATTGTACACTTCGGGACAAAAAGGGTTGACCTCCCACATGAGTGGGGGCCAACCCACGATTTTTCCACTCAAAATTTAGGGCGGGTCGGCTGGTGCATGAAGAGAACATGGGAGGAGGATGTTGATAAGAAAGGAATGGCATCAAAAGTACCTAGGTGGACTCCCATTTTTGCACTCATTAGATCAATGAGACAAAAGTCCATCCCCATCCCTCTCTCCCCTCTCTATTTCGGCCAAGGCACAGCAACCAAAGGCAAGGAAGCTCCTCATCCTCCTCCTTCCATTGTTGAAGAGAAATCATCAAGGAAGAATCACCCAAAAAGGAGCTAAAGTGCTAAAAGTGTGAAATAATTAAGGTAATGACCTTATTATAACTACTTCTTTATTCTTCTCCTACCATATGAAATATATATCATGTGAAGGATCCTTAAGAGGGTTCTACATGTTATAAGTATGGATTAATGGGTTGGAAAGTGATTCCATATCCAAGAACGGACTTAGAAGCCAAAACGACCGGTTCACCGGAAAATAACCTTTTTGAGGTTATTTGTATTAATATGGGTTTTATGATTATAAAACCTTGTTAGGAACTTGTGAAAGGTATTTCAAGTGATTTCACAAAGTTGGAAAAGTCGCCGGAGTTGTCGCCGGAGTTGACCGAAAGTCGCCGGAGTTTCACCGGAGTTCAACCAAGAGGGGTAGAACTTCATACGCTAGTTCAAGGTGAGTGGACGGCTTAATATCTTATAACTTTTGGGTTAATTATGAGATTACCTAAATAAATGTTATATGATTTCATAATGATGTTTAAAAGATATTTAAACATGTGATTAGCCAATAGGGTTAAGTTTGTATGAAGGAAATTTATTGTTGATGCATGGAATATGATATGAAGAATTATATGAAATGCATATTTGTTTGAAGTGTATTAGAAGCACAAATGAATATTATTAACTTAATTATATGATGATTAAGTTGATACACACAAGGCATGAAATGGCGGCCAACGAAAACGTGGACCGAAGAACAAAGGATTTAATTAATACCGGTTGGTATTAATTAATTATAAACCTATATAAATGCATGGCTTTGCATTAATTGTGATACATAAGATTTATGTATTGGATTAGTTATGAGTAACTAAGGATGATATAGACTCTATCTAGGTTGATAGGAGGTTGATCATAGGAAAACTTGGTGGAGGACCCTAGTACTTAAAAAGTACTTAACACTCAAAAATTTGGTGGAGGACCCTAGTACTTAAAAAGTACTTAACACTCAAACTTGGTGGAGGACCCTAGGACTTAAAGTCCTTAACACTCAAACTTGGTGGAGGACCCTAGTACTTAAAAGTACTTAACACTCAAAACTTGGTGGAGGACCCTAGTACTTAAAAGTACTTAACACTCAAAACTTGGTGGAGGACCCTAGGACTTAAAAGTCCTTAACACTCAAACTTGGTGGAGGACCCTAGTACTTAAAAGTACTTAACACTCAAAACTTGGTGGAGGACCCTAGGACTTATGAGTCCTTAACACTCACAAACCGGTGGAGTATCCAAGGGTTATGATCCTAAAACTCATAGATTGTGATATACAAGTAGGGACAAGGAGGAGTCCTATACACTCATAGGTATATGGGTGGGTTGGGGTTTTTAGTCAAGAATATTGACTATTACTATTTTTCCCAAATAAAATGGTGATCTACGGATCGGATATTTTCCAAGTATATTTATACAAATAAGTATTTCATAACTTGGGGGAAAAATTATTTATTTAAGTATCACCCTATGTTTGGGTCTTATACTTGAAACGCTAGTTATTCTATATTTAGCCTGTTACTCGCTCGGTACTTGTACTGACCCCTTCGGGGGGTCCCACCATTTTCAGGTTGAAGCTAGAGCTTGCTACTTGCACCTTCTCACGGGTGATATCAAATCAGGGAGACGTGGTTCGTGCTTCCTTATTTTCTTTCAAACTACCGAACACTTGCTCATGGATATTTGTTTTACTATAAACTATTTTTGGGGCTTGCATGCCCATGTTGTCGGCCGGTTGTGGCCCATGACTTACCGTTGAATATTTCCGCTATTCATTGGTTTAATGTGATGTTGTTATGTATGTTTACTACTGAGTATGGATGGATTGTTTTCTCGAACGCCTTGTGTAATTAAGTGAGGTTGACCCGTGGGTGACGCCACTTAGTTATACGGCGGTTGTACACGCGCTTGGATTACGGTCTGGGGCGTGACAGTGTATCACTAACATCTATGATATCATGGTGTCGCTAAACATTTCAATACAAATGTATCACTATATTTTATGATACTAGAGTGTCGTAATTTAGTGACACTTTTACAGTGACACTAAATTTAGTGTCACAACTCCCACCATTCGTTGACACTTTTTAAGTGTCACTAAAAATTTTAGTGACACTAATTTAGTGTCACTATAGATCATTTTTCTAGTAGTGTGAGGAGAGTCTTAATGTGAAAGAGAGGGCTTGAACATTAGCCTAAAAAGTCATGTGGTTTTCCTCCTTTTGGGTTTCCACGTAAAAATAGCTTGTTCATACACATTTATACATAATATTTACTATATCGTGTTGGATCAAACTCAACACATATAAATGAATAAGATGATAGAAATGCTAATGATGGAGTAGCAAAAGTCATAAACGTTCTACGTCTTCAAGAAAATCAATCATCTAATAATTTGGTAATATCTTAGTCCTCTCCCCATGTTCATCCTGTATCATCTGATTTTCTCTTATGTGTAGAATTAGCATATTTAGCACCATTAGAAACCTTAGCAGACCGAGTAGAGTTCATGACTGTCAATTAGATGATGTGTGACAGTGTGTATCAATCAATGATGTGCCATAGTAAACAATCAATATAGTGATATTAATTAAAAGTTACGTAGTATAATCTAATATATATGTGTGTATCAATATTAAACAATTAAGATGGTGATATTTTAAGAATGCTGAAACGAAAAATTGGCGAAGAAGGATGGGAGGGTGGAAAGAAACGAGATAAGGGTGGGAGGGTGGAAGATACCAAAAAGAAGATGACTACTTATTCAGAAATCGTAGTCACAGCTATAGGGGGATAGTAGATGTCAGAAACTCTGTTTAACAAAGGTTTTATATTTAAATTTTTCAATTTTATAAGGGGGGATCGAGTTAGACCGAGTAACTCGCTGAGTTGAAAACTTCACCAAGTTGAGAAACTCGTCGAGTACTCGGCGAGTAAAACACGGACCGAGTTAGGTAGCTATTCGACAAGGCTGGTACCCGAATTGCGAGTACTCATCGAGTAGATAATCCATATTGGGAAGATATAAATTAGATTCTAATTATAATCTAGCAGATAGCGAATGAGATTATGGCTCATTTACTTACAAAGACTTTATGCATTTTAACATAGTAACTTCTCATGGCAGTTATTAAAGTTCGAACTCAAGACTTACTGCTTCTGACATCCCTATCTGTCAATTATGCTATGCCCACTAGCAAATAAGGTTCAGACTAAGCAAAACAAATTGGACGCATTCAAATCTTCCACCAAATTACTGCATACAACAGTAATTAGTTCCGTTCAAATTTCTCAATACTTAGCAGTTAGCACAATTGGAGTCCCAATAAATACACTTCTAAAGCATTTATAGCCTTACAATAATCTTCTCAACTTACAATCGTTCAATCATAAAGGCAAAATAGCCAAAATAAGAAAAGAATAAATAAGAACATGAAAAAAAGAATATATTGAAAGAGAACCATAGACCTTCGAAACAAAAGACATCTGCTGGGCAGGGTCATTGCATATAGGCTTCATAAATAAGACATTAGCTGCATGCCTGCATGCATATGGAGGCGGAGCTGCTGGAAAACGGAGGGAGAGACGGTAGGAGATCCATCCATATATTTTATATCTTGTATATGCTTTATTTATTATTTAATTTTAATTTTTATATACTTTCTCCTTTTTATGGTTCAATTTTTCATTAGCTCTTTCAATTTTTGTTTAGATGTCGTCCCATTTCAATCCAGTAAATATATTGAAACCTAACCAAATAAAAAAGAGAAAAAGTTTTTGGAAAAGACTGGCCAGTTATGTTCATAAAGCCCATTGAAATCATGAAGGGCCGATAAATTGAACTACTCAGCAGTCAGCAGATCAGATTAGATAAATAAATGTTCCTACTTGTTCAATAAGGATGTTTTTACTTGGACTGAAATTTTTTGGTCTATTTTGATCTAGTAAACGTCTGATCTCAGTGTATTTAATAATTATCCAAATCTGATCTGGTATGTTCTGATTTGGTCTGATATGGTATGGTCTGATCTGAACTGGTCTGGGACTGACAGTAGTCTAAGTAAAAACGTCCTTTAACTTCAAACCCAGAATCTTCTTTTTATATTTCCATGTGAGACTCAACACATACATATGGCTTAGAGCATAATTCCATTCTCTGAAATTATTTAAATGTGAGTGATACAGTACAAGGATATGAGATTTCATTAATTTGTGTCATTATTTCATCATATATTTATAAAGAAATTACTCAACTGCTTTATTCTAATTGGCCGTGAATCAGAAGAAAGTATTGATAAGGTACTATAAAATTTGTCTTATTTAAAACATTATTTGATTTCAAGAAATCCTATTCTAGTTCTAGAATAATCTAGATCTACAAAGAAAAAGAAAAACTTTCTCTATAGGTTCTTTTATTGCGTCTTGAAGCATTGAGATCAGAATTGAGCCCCTTCAAAAGTTTGACCAAATTGCCAGTTTGAGGGCATAACATCGTTACTGACGACCGTCTTTCTGTCACTGGTTGTAACTTGGAATGAAAGACTTTGACCGGTCAAAACAGTGTTGATTTGCCAATTTTGGCCCCAATTTCTTGACATCGGTTGCCACTCAGTTTTTGATCCCTTAATGGACACTGAATGAACGTCTCCGGCACCGCCGACGTTACTAACTAAAACCAAGTTGAAGTAAGTGTTTCCTTTGATGGTGAATTTTATTCCTCCTTTCTTAATGCAAGATACCCTGCACAGATCCAACGTGTAATTCATTAGCAAGTATACATATACTTTTATATACTATGTATACCAAGCATTTTTCATATCATAAGTGCATGAGAACAAATTTTGTTTAGAGTATAAGATACTCCATCTATCTGAGGCTTGGTTTCACTTGCCTCTTCTAGATGTTCATATTTAAAGCTCTAACTTTTATTTTTGAAACAATTAACTCTCTTAACTGATAATCATCGCATATTAAAATTGATATACCCATAGCATTAGAATTTTGATCAATTACTTCATCATAACACATACACACTCAAATCATGGCGGTGTTTGTTTTTCGCCGGGTGGGTGCAAAGACGCTGCATTTTGCAGCATTTCTAATTATAAAAATTTTGCATTTTGGAGTAAAACGCTGCCACCCAAACACCCTCTATAACTCTATTTCTCTAAGGTATATACTCAAATTGCTTTAATTAGTTAGTTATTGCCTACAAATTAGTCAGTAGTTTATATGACAAGTTAGGAATGGATTTACCTGCGGTAAGAAACAGGGACAATTCCGGCCTTGTAAATGGCGATTTTCAAGTAGGCAGGCTGGGACATGTCGAAGTGTGGGCGGGGAGGGTTGCACCAGCCGCCGTTGTCGCTGGGCAAGCTCGTGTTCGGCGGGCAAAGGTCAGTGGCGGTGATTGTGATGCTTCCTGGCACGCAGTTCGGCCCGGTGCACGTGATCTCGTAGCATGAGCCGCATGCCAAGCCATCGTTGAAAAGGGCGGTACTCAATGCTGCAATGTCTGTACCATACCCTGTCTTGTACAAGTCGCCATATCCACAAGCTCCGCCTGCATTCAGTTCTTCCAAAGTTAGCATACAACTTAATTCTCCTATACTTATTAGTGTTAAATGTCCCACACCGGAAAAGTGTGGAGGAAGTATAATTCGCGTATAATACACTAGAACGTATAACTCACGTATAATACTCCCGTTTATGAATTTTTCAATTTTTTTTTGAAAAATTCACGTACTCTAAGGATAAAATGTATAATACACGTACCGTACGTATTGATACATATTTTATTTCATATAATACTCCTTTTTATGAATTTTTCAGAAAATTCTGAAAAACTCACGTACTTTAAGGATAAAATGTATAATACACGTACTGTACGTATTGATACGTATTTTATTAAAAAACGCCATTAAACGGAAGCCTAATGGAGTGATACAACCGAAACAAAATGCATGTCAAGCTACTCAATATTATTTATATTTCTTAAAAAAACGTTATGCCTTATATGTTCACTAATTGTTTAACGGTCATTACATTTAACGAATTAGCTTCTTAAATCCGTAATCAGTTTCGATAATTCTATTGTACTACTACTGTAATACTTTTGTTCTCCACCTATACCAAGACTCCAAAGAGATCAAAAAATGTTGTGGCGGCTCACTAAACTCATGGTCAAGGTAATATCAACTACTCCGTATTTTCTAGTAATATCTCTCCACTTCTACTTAAATAGGCAATGTCATTTTTATTACGTATTGTACCTATGCATTTAAATCCGTAAATCTGAAAAAAAAACTATTCCGTACATTTTAAATTGTTGAAGATTGTGGTGCAAATGTTAAATAACTCTTTATTTCTATCATTAAATAAGTATGTAAGACACATACTTACTTAAAGCTTGTGAAACGTTTAAAACGTGTCCGTATCTTTATATATTTCATGAACATATGAAACATATATTAAGCCGTATTTTATATAATTGTATCGTATTATACACGAACGTACGTATTATTGTATTATTCACGCACCGTATATTACTAACAAAGGGATGAACAAAGCGGTATATTAACACATGGGCTACTCCTCCTATCAGGTTGACCTTTTAGGATGCAACCCCGTGTCTTACCATGGTATCAGAGCCAAATCGATCCATGATGTGGGGCCCCTCATGAAAAATGATGACGTGATTATAAAATGGCCGGATGAAAAAAAAAACGGACCGATGAAAAAAAATGAATGATGGCACGATCTAGACCAAGTGTCTGGTGGTGAGGAGGGGTGTTAAATGTCCCACACCGGAAAAGTTTGGATGAACAAAGTGCTATATTAACACATGGGTTACTCCTCCTATCATGTTAAGACCATCCTAAAAGGTCAACCTGATAGGAGGAGTAGCCCATGTGTTAATATAGTACTTTGTTCATCCAAACTTTTCTAGTGTGGAACATTTAACAATTAGTTATTTAGTTTTTGAAAGAAATTGCTCTAATAGGTTTAAAACACAGAGAAATTGAGAAAGTGCTCAAAGCCTCAAATAGATGGATTTATGTTTTATTAGATATTACTCTAAATAGGATTATAAGTTAATCAAAACAAATAAATAAGATTATATGTTTATAATTCCTTCCATTAACAGAATAATACCTCACCAATCTATTAGTTAGGGACGGAGCCATGATATAATGTCACTAGTGTCAATTGAACAAAATATTATGTGGTACGAAGTATTATATAATAATATGTACATATATAAAGCAAAACAACAAAGTTTGTCATTCATAAAATTAAATTGCTAATTCACAACTACCCACGCCGCGTTGTCATATGTTTTAAATGTTATGCAAGTTTTTATTTCTCAACTCTTTTGAATATATCTATTTCAATAAAAGTAACAAAGTCATCATTTATCAAAGCGTCAGCCATTGGATTGCGCAATCGATTTTTCTATGATTCCGTCACTCCTTCATGAAGTGAATTGGAGTTGAAGTGTTGGAGTGAGAGTTGTGCTGCTCAAACTTTTTTTTGTGTGTGACTTTTTATTCCTTTTGAAGTTAGTGTTCCAACTTTTAAAATATTTACATGATTGATCCCAACTTTTTTAAAAGAACCATTTTTGTTGTACACATTTTGGTGAATAACTTTTGTACACCCTTATATTTTTGAGGTATGATGTTCAGAGACGAATTGCATTTCTTGTTACGAGCTTCATGTGTGCACCAACGAAAATAGGGGATGTACAAAAGGTGTACACCATAAGGGTGTGCACCTAGTTTTTTCTTTTAAAATGGTGTGCCAATTTAAATTTTTGAAAGATTAGATATACCTATATGTAGATTATTTTTTCAATGGTGTCAATTTTATATTTTAAAAAAAATATATATACATACGTATGAGAGAAATATTTGAGTGGTGTCAGTTGACACCACAACCCTATATCTATCCCTGCCATGAGTCTTATTTTAGGAATAAAATAAACAAGATAAAAATTTTTTCCTTAAATATTACTGAGATATAACTAGTCGATAAAAATATTACTATAATTACTATACATTGTGACTTGAGTGGTAAAATTGAATACAATGGTAGTTACTAAAGGAGTGTTTGCTAACACTTAAAATAAGCACTTCTCGGCTTTTAATTTGAAAAAATAGAAATTACCTCATATAGGAGTAAAACATGGAAGAAAATCTAAAATAGGACCGTGTATGTTTTCCCCCCCAAATAGGACCATTTTGCTCCTATTTTAAAACATAAGAAATTTCTCGTTCCATTATTACCCTTATTTGTTAGCTGATCGATCTAACTATCCTCTTCCCTTCTCCAAAAACCTTATCTCCCTTCTGCACACTTATTCTCTCTCCTTCTCCCAAAAACCTTATCTCCCTGCGCATTTCATCTCTTCCCTTCTTCTCACGAGATCCATCAATTTCTTCTGCCGTACATTCCATGTTGATTTCATGGCCGACTTCATCCCTAGCTGACGCCGACACCGACGCCAACTCCACCGCGCACGCCTAGTTTGGTCAGGTGTCTTCTTCTGCTCCTCCTCCTCCTCCTCCTCCATCTTCCTCCTCCTCCTCCTATTATTCTACTTTTTCGATTTGAAATTGATTTTTCTGATTTTTCTTCCATTACTCTATTTTTTAGTTTTGACATTCGATTAGTTGGTTTTGGACATCTATTTCATATTTCCTATTTATAATTTCTGATTTAAAAAAAATGAATTTTCCAGATTTTTGGATGATGGGATACGTTTTGCCAAGTTTATGGCAGATATGTACATTGACAAAGATATTATGGCAAAAATCCCATTGTGTAAATCAATTTTTCTGATTTTTTATCATCAACTTATTATTTCTTATTGAGGTGAATTTTTTGTGATTTTTTTGATTTTTTTTCCGGATATTTAGTTGTGGACTTAATGTTTTGCCAATATTATGGCCGTTTTTTGTAAATGGAAAAAACATCTGCCAATTTTATGGCAGATCTGGAAATTTATCATCAATGCAGCTTTAATGTCAGATATAATCTTCAAGGTAAAATCTGCCAACTTAATGGCAGATTTACAGAGATTTGGCAGATTTACAGAGCTAGAGTCGTGATGGTGGCGGTGGTGCTCGGAGGTAAAGTGGTGGTCCCAGATGTAACACTGGCCGCACTGACAACGATAGGATGGTGGCGTCAGTGGCGGATGGTGGGGTCTGTGGTGGATGTCGACCCTGGTTGGGCGACAACGATGCGGTGGCAGGCGGCGAGGGCGGCAACAGCCTGCGCCGTCGCCGGCGAGGGTGGTGGAAGGTTGTGCTGGTGAGGGGCGGCAATTCTGGATCCGGTGGCAGCTCTTGCTCCAGCGGCGGCATTGCTATTGCTATGGTTCCAATTGTTTTTTATTTTGCAGTTTAAAATTAAAAAGGTTTAAAGTAGGGGTATTTTTGTCTAACTATGTTGAATTTAGTCCTATGAAACGTGTGTTTGATAGTCCTAAATGTGCAATTAAGTTTGCTATTACTCCTATTTGAGTAATTAACTCTAAAAAAGTTGAAAAAAGTGTTTGTTAATAACTAATTCTACTTTGAACAAACACTTTAAAGCTAAAAGCTAGTAGAGAGATGTTTTAACTGCTTTTCACTTTTTTGTTCCACAAAAAGCACTAAGAGCTCGTTTGGTAGTACTGGAATCGGCTAAATCGGCAAATTCTATTGAAATTTATGAAGTTGTAGCTAAAGTGACTGCATTGGCTGATTCTGCTAATTTAAGAAAAAATTATGTTTAAAATATTTTTATTAAAAAGATAAGTAAATAATAATATGAAAAAATAGCTAAAATGATTATCAATAGTAACTTCAGTCAATGCGACCAGAAAAGTAACTTCAGCCTTACTTTTTCTTATTATCACACAATTCAACGCGTGAAATCAAAAGTTACGTTTTTGGTAAAAGTTGGTTGATAAGTCTGATAAGCCAAAAAAACAATGTCCACCAAACGGGCCCTTATTTTATCAAACACTACCCACTTTTATTTTGGGATAAGGGTCAGTTTGGTCCTCGAAGTTGCAAAAAAGAGGTCAAATATGTCCTTATATAGAAGATTCTGTCCGGACGTGCCATTTGAGGTGGCTCCCGGTGGATTTTTTTTATGAAAGTTTTTGAACATCTTATTCATTAAGTCTAGTTTACTCATATCAAATTTCAGATAAAAATTCAACCGGGAAGACATTCAAATGAATTCTTGAAGATAATTGTGCCGTTAAAAGTGTTGTTATCTTCAACAATTCATTTGAATGTCTTCCCGATTGAATTTTTAGCTGAAATTTGGTATGGGTAAACTAGACTTAATGAATAAGATGCTCAAAAAAATTATCACAAAATTCCACCGGGAGCCACCTCAAATGGCACGTGCGGATAGAATCTTCTATATAAGGACTTATTTGACGCCTTTTTTGCAACTTCGATGACCAAAATGACCCGTTACTCCTTTTATTTTTTTAAAATACCCACTTTTACTTTTTTAAATGTTTTTTTCTCAACACGGTGAGGCGGAGAGGAGCGCGCGGAGAGGTGCAGCCTGACATGGGAAGCGAGACACGATAGGTGAGGCGGAGAGGCCGCGCGTGTGTGGCACATCGAGCAAGTTGGGGGGTGCTAAGAATGAAGACACAGATAAGATGCAGAGGGAAGACTTTGAGATCGATGGATTGTGTGAAAGGCCGAAAGCAATTCATTTAAAATACTCCGAACTCACTTTTGTGGCCATATTCAAAATGGTCATATTTTAGTCGATCAAAACGCCACGGGTTATATTCTTGTCTTTCTTTCAAAAGAAAACAAGCTGTCTTTCTTAACTGCCCAATTTGAAAACAATCATTCTAACAAATTCAAAACTTCAACTAGTTATGAAATTGTACCCAAGCTTTTGTTTTTTTGAGGAAAATAGTACCTAAACGGAAGTCATGCGTAGAGTATTTTGGGGTGCGAATAAGTGTAAAAATTACGGTTGGTATCAACTTTCAATCATAAAAACAAAAGACGCCAAATCAAATTATTTATTAGAAACAGCACGAGTAAGGGCAGTACCTCAGACTAGAGTAGATTAAACTAGTTCAACCAATTCAGACCGACAAATAAAATAAGACTAGACTTCGATAATTATAAAATACACAAAGACTTTCAAACCCGAAAATTTTAGTCTAATAAAAAAGGGGAAGTATTCTATATACTCAGACACATTTGGAAAGAGCAGTACTTTTATCATAATAACAAAATAAACCCCAAATTATATTCATTTTATATGAAGAAATGTGCCTCCCATGAAGCTCCAAATCACAGAGTGGGAAAGATTTTCAAATCACGAATATTCATACTTCAATGTGTACGCTATGGGGGATAGATCAGTGTTTAGCTAGTATCCTATGAACAATTTAGTGGATTAAAATTAAGGCTAAAAGAGTTAAGGTCGTGAACAAATTAAGTTTTTAGATGTAAACTTAGTGGGATCATTTTTTAATTCTATGTAGCCACTTCAATATTTAATTGCGTCTAGGCTAATCTCTTTCTAGCCAAGTCCAACATAATTTAATTTCTTAGACACGCCTAACTTGGGAAATAAGAGGATGAATCCTTCATAAGACAATTATGTATGTTAGGTAAAATCCTTCATGTTTAAGTATGGGGACCATTCGGATTCATCTCAAATACTGGATGTTAAGAGTGGAGACCATTCAGATCCATCCTATAAAACTTTAGGAGTTAAAAAAGAGCTCTATCATTTTTATTAAAAGTACACGGCAACAATTTTAAGTTTATCATTTGCGATGAAGCCAAAGATTCATTATTTTTTGGCTTGAGAATATGATGGAATAAAGCAAAATGGTTCACCTAACTGTTTGCGCTTCTTTGTTATGAAGCAGCGGTCAGTCCATGCAATTTTTGTCGCAATTTTCACTATGGGTCATCGGGAACAATATATCTGTACTTTAGTACAGGGGTAAGACTGCGTACATCCGACCCCCCTTACCCCACCGTAGGTGGGAGCCTTTGCGGCACTGGGGTAAATGATGATTGATTTGATTGATATATTCGAGTAAAAACAAATTTAGTCTGATTAATAGGACAGAGGAGGTATTATAGATTTATTACTCCCGCACATAATAAGATATTTTTAATTGAATTATTATTCACTGATAAAAACACAATTAGTTTAAAAACATCAGAGAATCCAGCTATGGCACACCTCAATTGCACATATCACCCTCGAGAGTCAAGTAATTTACAACAATTCCTGATGTACACATTTTACTGTTGTACACACTTTTACGCACGCTTCAGAATGCTTTTTTTTAGTAGCATACAACCATACAAAACATGTTTCTGTATACGGATGTGGATTTTGTTAGGTCTATATACTCCACATAAATGAAAAAAAATTAACATGTCTTTAATTATTATTATTGCGCGTTAGGTGTGGCCGTGTGGGTTTTTGTAGAATAAAAACAATCAATAGTTCAATACGACATACGTAGTAGTATTAGTATATAAAAAAGAAAAAGCTTGTGCCACTAGGGATTTGCAAACATGTAACTTGAAAATTAATGAATTAAAAAGGCATGAATTGAAGAAAAATTTGAATTATACTACGTATAATGTAAATCAACGAGCAAAAAAGAATACTCGTATGTTAAATGGAAAATAAAAATGTACTAACCCATTGTGCCAGAAGCATCACTGCCACCATAAAAAGTTGCATGTGCAGTCTGCCAGTCTCCAGTGTCGGCACAAGTGAGATGGATGCAGAAGCTTGAGGAAAGGAGTAGGAGAAAGGGAATAAAGAATTTTGGGAAAATCCTAATAATTGCCATTGATTGAATTAATTAATACCAAAAAGGGATTAATTGTGTGATTAATTAGGTATTGGGTGCTGGAGTGATGGAAAGTCAATGTGTTTGCATGGGTTTAATCTTAATTTGTTTCAAAAGTACGGAGTATTATATATAAGTCAAGAGGTTTGGTACGTTATTCTAATCTAAGAAGTAAATATGTATATACCATGTATGATATGATTTGGATTAGTGGTTTACATGGAAACATTGAGATATGATATTTTTTCTTAAGCAAATTTGGGATATGAAAATAATCACTCGTAATTGATATTAACGTGAATTGTTTTGGGTATATTAGGAAGGTTTTTTATCTATCCGTTTATATAGTGATTACAAAATTTTAGATAGTATACAATAAGTATAGAACGTGTGAATTGTAAGTCTATGAGCCTATGTGCTGAAATCCCATACGCCCAATAGCGTAGAACGTGTGGATTTTCAATTGGCAGGGGCAGAGGGCAGTATATAAAAAAAATACAGTATATAAATGCATCGTAGATATATTAAAATTTCGGGGTAAATATATCTAGGGAAAAAAATTGGTGGAACGGCAGCCCCCAGTTGCCCCTGCTTGTGTCCGCCGGTGCATACGCCACATCTTCTTTTGCAATCACTTCGTGTTCAATGAGGATGTTTTTACTTGGACTTAGACAACAGTAGACCATACCAAACTAGACGAGACAAAATCAGACCAGACCAGACCAGACTTGGAGAGTTATAAAATACACAGAGACCAGAAGTTACAAGATCAAACCAGACAAGACCAGATCAGAAAATTCCAATGCATACAAAACATGTTTTGATTTGCACAGACAAAACAAGACACGTTCCGTGCAAAACAAGACATGTTTTGCTTTGCACAGACAAAAATAATATCTGGTGACTATAAGGGTGTGTACAAATAGTAGGCCCGTTGTTTTAATTATAGGCCAAGCTACAACATGGTTCGAGACTTCAAGTGTAAGGGAATACTGCTCACCCGCAACGGCATAGCTAGGGCCGACGCTTATTAGACTCTGCTCTATCCCAAATTTTAATGTGTCGTTATTAAAATAATCATTAGAATTTTTTGTGCATACGAATACCTATAGTCTGATAGTCTGGTATATACTACTTTGTACCAACCGAAAATTAAAGGTGTAAGCGGAATGACTTAATTCTGTTCATCATATGCTGTTATTTGTATACTCCGTATTAAATATACTAATACACAAATTTTGGAGTAAATTCAGGCTCGGGCATTAAACTACCAAAATTATGATATTTGGCCATGGAGTTCAATTACGAACGTCATTACGAGAATCAATTGGTGTTGATTATTCAAGTCAGTGAAATCAAGCAAGATAGTATCATATTAGGCCTTCTAAGCAGCTACTCTATAAAAGTTTTAGTAGAATGGACTGTTTTTATATTTTGGACAAATAAATTAAAATTCTTAGAAATAATGATGGGTATGGATTAATACAATTGCCATGAATAATAGTAATAGTATCACTAAGAGCATTTCCAATGCTATAATGTGCACGATGCACATGTGGCATGAGTGATAGCCACATAAATATTAGCATATAAATTATCTCTCTCCTTATTTGAATGATTTTATACAATTTTGGTAAGTTTTTCCCTGCAATGTCAACAACAATGTGAACATCTAGACGGTCTCCTTGACATTGTGGAGAAAAACTTACCAAAACTGTATAGAATCATTCAAATAAGGAGAGAAAGAATTTATGTACTAATATTTATGTGGTCATTTCTCATGCCACGTGTGCACCGTGCACATTTTACCATTGGAGATGCTCTAAGGATGTTTTCTTTTGGACTGAAATTTGCTGGTCTGGTATGGTAAACGTCTGGTCTCTGTGTATTTTATAACTATCCAAGTCGGGTCTGGTCAGTTTAAGTCTGGTTTGGTCTGTTTAAGTTTGGTCTGATCTGATCTGGTCTGGTCTGGTTTGGGACTGAAAATAGTCCAAAAGAAAACATCTAAGTATACATTAATTTCTAATCTTGGTGAAATAGTAGACCAACAATCTCCCAATTCACGTTCTATATGAATTCCTAATCCGGCTCAAAATAGTAAATAGTAGACCAAATTGATATAAAGCTCTTCTTCTATTTTCATCTGTCACTTAAGCCCTTATATACTATAAAAGTATTATATAAGTATGTAGGTTTATTTTAAAATATTGATCAAATTAACCATGTAATCAGTTTTTGATCGGTAATAGCATATTTTTTATATTAAAAAAACTCTACAACAATTGTTAAAATATGAATAAATATAGATAAAAATTGTGTAAAATTTCGGAATGTCAAAGTCAATACATTTTTTAAAATTTCGGAATGTCAAAGTAAAATAAAAAAGGTTTTTACATTTTTTTTACACTTTCACTTTATTTTTTAGTGTTCTGATTTATGTTTTTTACTTTAACGTTTTTATATTATATATCATCTATATTTACATTTATACTATTTTTTATATTATTATTACATTATATTTCAAATTTATATGAATTTTTATAAGATTTATCAATACTCCTTATTCATACGAAGTACGTAGTATTTTATAAAATATCCTTCTATAGTAGGTCAAAATGAATTGATTGATTGTATTTTAAAAGCAAATGTACTTATATGTTGCTTTTTTTGGTAGGACTTATGTGATAAACTAAAAATAGTAGAAGGGCATAATTGAGAAAGTTTTATTCTAACGCTATTGCACAATAAATAATAAGAAAATTGTAAGAAGAAAAAATAACACCCGAATACTGCTTGAAACTAGGGCTGCACATCGGGCGGGTTGGGTCGGGTTTGTTATATTTTTTGGGCCTACCCGATTTGTTCGGGTTGGCTATTAACCAAGCCGCAGTACACAAAATAAGTTGATAAACCATGCATTAACGGTCGGGTAGGGTCGGGTACTGGGGAATAAAATCACTTCGGGTTGCATCTTTCATGTGGGAAATCAATGTAACCAATTTAAAACTCGATTAACTTGTTTCCAAAACACATAAACAAATATAAGTACTCGTATTTTTTATAAGCAAAAACATTAGGTAATAGTATTAAAACATCGATCCTTCCGTAAAGAAAGTTCATTTAGAAGGAAACATAAATATATAATAATCACCTAGTCAAAATGATACATGTTTAATTATAATTCTAATATCATAAAATCCTAGATAGAGCACATTGACCTTAAATTGAAATTATCCAAGAAAAGGTTGTAGCTGTTGAAGGAAATTACTTTAATGTGCATTCGTTATAGATAGGAAGTGTATCTAGGGATTATATGTATTGAGCTAATTGGCCCATTAGCCCATTCCTTGTAAAACCCTAATCCCTCCTATTTAAAGGGGGCTTACTAATGGAATGAACACACCTCTCTCACTTCCCTACAACACGTTATCAGCACGTAGCCCTAAACCTATTTTTTTCCCCGTTCTCCCTACACTCAATCTGCAGCCGCGCCTCCAGCAGTCCAGCCGCGCCGCCAGCAGTCCAGCCGCGCCGCCAACGGTCCAGTCACGCTTGGCCGCCTCCCAACGCACCGACCGTCGCCCGGCCTCCCCCCCTTCCTAGCCTGCGACTCACCGATTCTCGGATCTCTTTTGAGGTATTTGCTTTACTCAAAAATCATTGTAGAACCTTATGTATATGATTTATTGCATCATGTTTACCATTGTGATGAACATCATTGATTTTTTTTAGATTAAGTCGTATCATCCATTTTTTAGAGATAGATGCAATTTTTTATTATAATTCCGTAATGCTATATGTTATAATCATATAGTTGGAATCAATATCACATTATGCATCCCTCTTCGTTTTTATACATCCATGTGATGATACTTTTCCGTAAAGCTATATGCCATATACATATAGTTGGAATCAAAGATCACACGATTAATCTTATTTTCATGCATTTTATATGATTATACTTTCCGTAAAGCCATATGTTAGATACATATAGGATGAATTAAGATCATATTATGTTTTTTTTTTACATATTATGTGATTATATTTTTCCGTAATGCTATATGTCACTTACATATAGTTGGAACCATAATCACATAAGATTACTCCATTAAATACTCAAATCAACATATTAGACGTTACATACATGATACATGAAATAGGGATTTCTCAATTTAATTTTAATATTTCTTTCCATATACGTATGTTTAACACAATTGGAATATATTAACATATATGGCAAGAATTTAAAAATGATAAGTGTGAATTTTTCTTTCAAAAAATTTATCAAATCTATTATATCTTTCTAAATATATCATAACACTAAATAATGAAACCGATTTTTTCCACTCTATTTAGAAAACCGTCAACTTTAGATAAGTATATATATGACAAGTCTTGATCTTAATATTCCATTTTTAGATGCACATTTAGATACGTGTGTATGTATGGTTGATTCATGTGCCTGCCTTTTTCACAGTTCACGTTTAACATAGTTCACAACAAATATTACCTGCCATGTGTTCACACCAATTAAATTATTTTTTTAATGAAATATGAAGAAAATTTATATATTTTCATTTTTAGAAAATTCAATCTCATTCCCGAAAAAAAAACGAAAAAAACTACAATTTTTGGTAATCAACATACGTACAACACAATGTTTTTAAGATATTTGCACACTAGGTTACTAATACATTATTAAATTCGTTTTTACACAAAAAAAAATTTAATTCGAAATTTAGCTCCATTTATTTAAATTCGAAAAATAACGATAATTAAATTCATTTTTAACTCCATTTTTTTATATAATTAAAATATATGGCAAATTTTTTTTTCTTTCAATAATTCGACAATATATTTTACTAAAAGAATTATTAAATTCGTTTTTGAGATATGCTTACTCCATTCATTAGACCAATATTAATACTTTCTACAAAAATCTCTATGTTTTTTTAAGGAGATGAATATATCTCCTCTCTTCGATGCATTACAAAATATTGTCTACAAAGAGACATATCCCATGTCATTTTTTTATGTGATAAAGAATTTTCACACAAAGAATCACATTTTTTTTCTTTTTTTTAAG